ATTATTCTTAATGAAGATTTGTTTTTAACTAATATAATGATGATTAAATTTTCTTTCCTAACTATTGTCTTATTATCTCTTTCAATTCAATATTTCATTTATTTGACACAGATTTTTAATTGTTCCATCAAGTTAAGCTTAATTAGTCTCTCTACAAAAATCTGCAACTTTTTAGCTTTGAGCATCGTTGAGAAGGAAAAAGCAACTACAGCATAGCTAATTAAGGTATGTATATATATACTAGTACTTTCTAATTAATATCTTGACTTCTTCAATTCTTGGAAGATCTAAATCAAACTCTATGGTCTATATTTTGATTGTTTTCTTTATATAATCTTGCTATTTTCAATACCAACATGGGAAACTAACTAAATCTAAACTAATTAAATCAATCCATTAGGATAAAATACTAAATTGACGTTAGTTAAATGAAGGTGAGGTATCTAATAGATTTATGAGGTTATTTATTTAAATAAAATTTAAGAATTTAATTGGGAATATGAAAAAAGTTTAACAGTTAAGGTTTTACCTTTAAAAAACTGCCTTTATAAGTATAATTTCAATTTTCACAAAACTTTCATTTTTCAAAAACTGGAACAAATAAACATGCAATTAAATTTCTAACTTGTACTTTTTGAAAATATGTTTTTATTGTTCACAATTTTCCTAATCCTTGTTGAAACATTTTTTAATTTTCTCTCAAAGTAACTTCACCAGGGGAGCTCTTTCCTTCTGAATCATCAGGACTATCATGCTTGATATAATAAATGAAAAAATGAGATTGGGGAAAAGTTAAAGATTGTTTGAAATAATGCTTTGTTTCTTGGTCTTCCACGTTGGATGGTGATAATGCTTCCTGTTTTTTTCATTCATAAAGAAGAAGAATTAAACTTTATATTTGTAATTAAATATAATTATATTATTAAAAATATTATTGATATTTTTGGTGCTAATAAATATTGCGTTTTCCTTTTTTTTTTTTTTCTTCTTTGTGCATTAATTAGAATATATCTTGAAATTTCATAGGTATGAAATCAAGAAATTTATGATCAAGAAGAAAACAAAAATAATGAAATTAGATGGGAAAAGCCTAACGCTAAGAGATTACGTATCTTATCCCCATTTCTTTTGATTTTTTTTTTTAAATTTAACTTATATATTAAGAGTGAATTTATTGTATATTTTTATTATAAATTTATAGGTTAAATTTTCAATTTGGTCCCTAAACTATTGTATAGATACCTGATTTGGTTCTTAAACTAAAAAAATCCTTGATTTAATTTTTAAATTATTGTATAAACCCTCAATTTGATTCCTACTATTTACCAATTTACCCTAAGTTGATTCTTCTGTATAAAAAATAACTGATGTGTTTCGTTATTAACGTGATAAGTGATCGTTAAATAACTATTTTTGACCGTTAAGTAATATATATGTCAGCTTTTTTTTGTATAGAATGACCAATTTGGGATTAAATCAGTAAATAGTAAGGACAAAATCAGAGGTTCATACAATAGTTTAAGGATCAAATTAAGAATTTTTTTA